GTAAATTATCAGGCAATAAGCAATCTCATTATTTTCTTCTGTGTAACGTTTGGTTATCATATTTTTCTGTGGATTTACTTGTAACTAAAATATTATTTATTCATAATAACATCATCAATGATGTCAAAGATCAAAGCTGCCAGAGTCTATGAACATACTTCATTAATTTAATGTTTAGATGTACTGATACTTATACAATGGATTTAAATGAAAGATTTGTAATTTTGATAATGTCAACAGCTCATTAAAGGAGTTTAAGTTATATATGACTTTATAAGTGGATTTTAATTTGGTTGTTACCAGCAATACTAATAATTGGTTTTATACTTTTAATTTAAAAAATAAAATTATAAACAAATTAATACATGTTTTGTTTTAGAATAACATTAAGTAAGATAAATATGTTATAAGGATCATAGCAGTTATTCAGTTTCATATAAAAACAATCACTTGTAATTTAGCTTAGGTTTTGTTTTCGTTTCGTGGAATCGGCGCATCGTGTCCTCTTATTATGCTGCATAGAGATTTTCGGCTGGCCTCCTGTCTGACGTCAACCCTTCTTGGGAATGCTAGAGTTATCTTATGATGGTAACCATCTATTAGACAGCAAAATAGCAATCGTAATGCGCATGCTCCTTCTTACTACCAACACTTAAGACGTAATTGGGGAGAGAAGTGAAAACATAAGTTGATGTAAAATGAAATATGTAGATAGAGCAGACAAAAGTAGCCGGGTTCGCAAAAACGTGTACATATTTTTTTTAATAAATTTTCTTGTGTCTTCGATAGGAATGTGTTTCTTATTTTGGGCAACAGTCGGTGATATCAAAGGCGACACTGTAATGCATTGGTGCATAATTACGTAAGCGCCCAAAACGCATGTAGGTCGCGGTACACTTTCCATTTAACACGATAGCGAGTTGTACCTGAAATATACTTGTGACCGAATATAACTGTGGAAATGTATAAACAAGAAAAGTAACTCTAGTGGATCGCCTTTTCTAATGAAAAAGACTTCAACGAGAGCGAAAAACGTGCAGTTTCTTGGCAATTATAATATTTCATTTATTTATTTATTTATTTATTAAACTTCATGTAAAATTTACATTGGCGGACTTAATGCCTAAGGTATTCTCTACCAGTCAACCAAAGGTAGTGCAGAGTAAATAGTAGTAGGTGCAATGAAATTTATATTAGGTTACGAATATATACAAAAAAAAAAGTATATCTACATATATACAAAATCACATATACATATTTAACATACATACATATATACATACATACATACATATAATAGTTTATACAGTATTAAAAGGAGTATATTAATAAATTTCCTTAACAAATAACTAACTACCCAGTTATGTTATCGGCTGGATCCTATGGTTTATATGCCCCTAGTTGTTTGTTGATTTTTGATTTTGTTGCGTTGAATGAAACATGAATATGACCAATAAAAGTTGAACGTTTTTGAATTAAAGTAAAATTTGAATATTTTATTTTATAGAGTAGATTACCGAGCTAGCAAATAGTCGATCTTACAAGTGGTTACGGCCTTAGACATAATGAATAGGCTACTGCCTACCTTGAGATACGAGCAGCATTGTAATGTTCTTTACCAATCCATTAAAATGTAACGCACTGATGATTCGTGGCAATGGTACCCACATCTGGTAACTTAAACAAATGCTAAAATGTCTTAGATAACTTAAGCAACTCAGAATCTCCTTCGGCTTTCGGAAGTCACAGACATAATTAAAACAATTTTTACGTTTTTTTTTTTTTTTTTTTTTTTTTATGATTGAAAGTTTACTGGTGGCCCGAAGGCCTTTCCAGTTTCACCAGGACAGGTGGGCGAGCAAAGGCTCAGCCAAGAGGGGTGGGATTTGCTAACAACTGCCCGAGCGCCTCCGAAGGAGACCTAACAACTCAAGAGCAATTGTTTCGCGAATGAATCTACTACCGGATCGNGGACGGGTAGAAGTTTAATAACGCGGTTAGATATACCGTCGGAACCGGGAGCCTTGCGAGGACGTAGGTCTTTGATCAAGTCTTTAACTTCTATCGGGGTGACGGGTGGTAACGCATCCGATGGTGGCAAGGAGGCTCTGCGTTCTACCTCACTGTCTACTAATTCTACATGAACAGGGTCTACGGATTGAGTGCTGGGCGTGCACTGAGTTTGCAATGTATCGGCCAGCAGCTCTGCTTTTTCGTCATCATCGAACGCCGCGAGTCGGCCTGAGGGGCCTACGAGGGGGGGCATAGTTACTACCGTATCCGATTTGATTTGAATTTTTTTTACGTTATAGCCCCGTGCTTTTTTTAATTATTAATATAATATATATACCTTATATATTTCTTCTGTGCGTGTGTTTGTTACCGAACTCCTCCTAAGCGGCTGGACCGATTTGAATGTTTTTTTTTTTTTTTTTTTGTATGCGTTTGGGTGGCTGGATGGATGGCCTGGATGGTTTAGATTGATGTCGTTGTGGCCTAAAGGATAAGACGTCCGGTGCATTCGTGTTGAGCGATGCACAGGTGTTCGAATCTCGCAGGCGGGTACCAATTTTGCTAATGAAATATGTACTTAACAAATGTTCACGAGTGACTTCCACGGTGAAGGAATAACATCGTGTAATAAAAATCAAACCCGCAAAAATTATAATTTGCGTAATCACTGGTGGTAGGACCTCTTGAGAGTCCGCGCGGGTAGGTACCACCGCCCTGCTTGTTTCTGCCGTGAAGAAGTAATGCGTTTCGGTTTGAACGGGTGGGGCGGCCGTTGTAACTATACTTGAGACCTTAGAACTTATATCTCAAGGTGGGTGGCGCATTGTAGATGTCTATGGGCTCCAGTAACCACTTAACATCAGATGGGCTGTGAGCTCGTCCACCCATCTAAGCAATAAAAAAAAAAAAAAAAATTCACAAATCAACCCGGCAGATGGTGCTGCAGTCGGTTTTTTTTTTTTATTGCTTAGTTGTGTGGACGAGCTCACAGCTTACCTGGTGTTAAGCGGTTACTGGAGCCCATACACATCTACAACGTAAATGCGCCACCCACCTTGAGATATAAGTTCTAAGATCTCAGTATAGTTTCAACGGCTGCTCCACTCTTCAAGCCGAAACGCATTACTGCTTCACGGCAGAAATAGGCAGGGCGGTGGTCCTATCCGCGCGGACTCACAACAGGTCCTACCACCAGTAAGTTATTTATCTATATTCTTAATCTAAGTTATTTATCTATATTAAAACTAAACGGCTGGATCGACTTGAATGAATTTTTGCAGGACAACGTCTGCCGGGTTCGCTAGTATAATATAAATTATTATTTTTGACGTTCCGAATGCTTTACCGTTTTCGTGGTCACGGACGCGTGTCGTGCGCGGTCACGGTAAAAATATTATTAGCTATGTTTACGAAATCGATTTCGAAATCTATTTCGTAAACATTATTACTGATGCATACGACGAACAAAGAAACTATAAAACCACGTATCGTTGGACAAATTTTCCTGAGATTGCGGTTGAATAAAACTTCTGAGATTTTTTTTATCGAAGGCTAATTTAAGTCTGATTGCACTGTTTATTGGCTATAAAGGATGCGTTACTGTCCCGATCTCGTTCGCCTCACATTCGATCCTATGACATTTCGTTCGTTTCCGTAACCCTTGAGACTCGTTCATAATAACAGCGGGAGATTTCGCATTCTTTGGGTATGCTTGATTTTTGCTTTGTATTTTAATGTGAATCATTCTTTGTTCGATTTTCACATGAATATCGGTGTATTTTACAAATTAATATATGTCACATGAAGAATTAATAAAATTTAATGTTTAAAATGAAAGTTATTCGAAAGAAGTTAATATCTGTATTGGAATTTCGAGTAATTGTGGATTGTTCTTTCTGTGTTAAGTTTCCTTATTTGTGAAAGTGGAATCAATTGTCTATACTAATATTATAAAGAGGAAAGATTTGTTTGTTTGTTTGTTTGTTTCGAATAGGCTCCGAAACTACTGGACCGATTTGAAAAATTATTTTTCCATTAGAAGCCGACATTGTCCCTGATGAACATAGGTTACTTTTTTAATTTTTTTTAATTTTTTTTTTTTGGTTTCATGTGTGTTTTAATGTTTCCGAAGCGAAGCGAGGGCGGGTCGCTAGTTCGTTAATAAGACTACAGATATAACAAACCATTTTATCATGTTCAGTTTTCTTAGTACTTAAGAAAGTGAAAAAATTGTTTGAATGAAATGATGAAACAATTTTTTTATTATCTGTATATTAAAGGTATATATTGCAACACTCTTTTCTGTATTACATTTTTGTTGTTTAAATATTTTACTATTCAATTGAGACTTTTTTTTATTGTCTTTGTAGGCAGACGAGCATACGGCCCACCTGATGGTGAGTGGTTGCCGTCGCCCATGGACTTCAGCAATGCCAGAGGCAGAGCCAAGCCGCTGCCTACAATACTCCTGATGTTTCACAGAATGGCTGCTTTAAAATATTAATACTGTTAACACATACGCATCACTATTGTGATTTATGTTATATCCGATGGACCGCGAATTCGTCGACCAGTCTATGCCATACAAAAATATATATTACTAAGGTGAAAAGTCATACTGAATAAATAACCTAGTTGCAGTCGTAATTCGGTATAATTTTGCATTATTGATTAACAATTGTATTAAAACGGTCATACGGATCATGCGATTACTATCTTTTCAAGAAACGCCTATAAAAGATAATAATTTTAAAGAGCTAATCCAATGTCATAACCTCATGACAATGGCATTACCCAATTTACAGGGTAGTGCAATCGTGTATATTTAAGTATGCTCAAAGTGACATTAGTGTTAGTGTGAGGCACTCGCTAATCACTGTCACCCCAACCTCGCCTCGCGAAGCCTTCAAGTTTAACAAGTGTATCGTTCTCACCCCACCACGAGCCGATTCAACTCGATCGCGAAGTGCTGCAAGTTGATCACTCCCGCGCATGCGCGCTGAGCTTACGCGCGTCTTCTCGTGTACTATGCGTCGGTGGTGACTTGACGAGTGCAAGTGTTGTGTACTATTTCCTAAAGACCGTGATCTGTGTGCCTTTACGATGAGGTCTTGCAGCGCACTCGCGCTTTTTACGTTAGCCGTGTTGACAGGTAAGAAAATTTGAAAAGAAATGTCTATGAATTCTCTTTTTATTTTCAGGATTGTTTTTTTTTTTTTGTTAAATTTACTAAGATTTATTTTCATGAAAATTATTACAACCGGATTCCAGCTGCAAATTTAATACAGCAATTTTAATGACGTGCTATATTTCAAACGGACAATTCCGTCATTGTAGGAAGTATGGACGTTAATAAAGCCGATGAAAAACTATCGCACCTCGCCGCGAAACTAAATACTTTCCCGTACTTGCGCAATTACTTGACAAGCATTGATTAACTGCGATTCTGAACTCTAATTCGATGCTCTACGACTATCATTTTAAAATACATTTTCGCAATTCACATAGACCAGAATTCCGCAACTGAATAAAATTTAAATCATTCATTAACGTGAGGTTAGCTCAATGTCAAGATACTATACTATATTGATATTTTCTTGGGTTTTGTATTGAGTTGCGACATGCCGAATGGTAAATTACTTTCATTTTCTTTGAGCTGAGAGCGGTGTAGGATTTTCTTTGGACATGCGTATGGGAAAATACTGTATTAAAGTTTAGCAATAACTGCAGCTCTAACAAAAGCTTCAACTAAAATCGAACAATGATTCGTTTGTTTAATGAAATAAAATAGGTTGCGGTAAGATATCGACTACCATTCATATTTTCACTCACGCGTTAATGCAGTCGGTGAAAATTTTTAAACATATATTTCCTGATATTAATTTTTCTTTTTTTTTTGTGAGTTAGTTTTCGGGATTGAAAAAAATTAATTTGTAGACATTGAATTCCATCATTCCCTCTAATGAAATATTTGCTAGGAATTAAGGGATTGGCGGATTTTTATCAAAACTGTTTATTATTTGGGGTTTGAAAATAATCCTAAAGGGTAGGCCGTGGTTCAGCTCAGCATGACCACTCTCCGTAGCTTGGGCGTTTACTTTCGTATCATTAAAGACTATAAAATTCGTTTGGTATTGTATTTAATTTCCTTTACCAAATATTACCAATTTTATCAAATAATATCATTGCAGGGCAATTTTTATTAATTAACCGTGCTATGATATGAATTATGTAATTGAATTATTATTATTAATTCCAATGGCACAGCCAAGCCTTGCCAAATTACCTTTGGAACGCAAGTTAGTGTCAGGTGAAATCGATGTGTTATTAAATATCAATTAAATAGTTCAATCATCCGCGACCACGAATATTACAAAGCATATATACGAAACATCAAATGTTAATTCGTAAAATAAATGAACGTGACATTAGATCGAATAGGAGTTTAGATCGGCAATAAGCAATATGTTTTGTTTATTAAAAGAAAAATCGCAAGAAACAATCGGATTTCATTTTACAATATTTCATTCATTGAAGGGGGAGTCTTGGACAAGTCTATATTTAGCAGTTGAAGTCTGCAATAAAGTTGTTTGAAATTACCGTAACATAAATATAATTAAAATCATTTTTGTGTTTTAATTTTTCGTTTCATTACAGACTTAAAATCGAACTGATTATAGAATAGTATTTTATAAATCTGATTTTTTTTTTTGTCCATACATTATTGAAATGTCAATCTAATAATACAGTTTTATATCTTGGCATTGTGGTTTTTTATTTTTCATTTTAGAGTCGTTTAAAATGAAAACACATTAAGTAGACTACATGTTTTTTTTTATTGTTTCACAAGATAAAAATCTAAAATCCTAACTTTATTTATATCTGAAACAAGATTATTACTGAGTATCATGGATAACATTTAAAAGCTGAAGTTTATTGGAACAAGCGACATAATGTTTATTTTTAACAATTTATTCATGCAACACAACTTTTTAAAATCGACCGCAAAATTTACGAATAAAATTTAAAGTAAGTCTCCCATGTCAACAAGAATGCATCGTATTTTAACATTACAGGTTATGTAATTTAACCTTTTTCCTCCCGGGTGAGCCCGTGGTCGCCCTCCTGTCCTGGTGAAACTGAAAAGGCTTCAGATTACCAAAAATCCTTCTTTCCTAAAAAAAATACGTAAGTTAATTGTAGAACCAAAAGATTCTAAGCTATTTAGTATAAATATTATTAATCAAATATCGAATGACCGAGCCACCGTTACAATTAGAAGTCGACGTGGCCTAAAGTATAAGACGTTCGGTGCATTCGTATCAAGCCATGCAGCTGTTTCGGGGTTCGAATTCCACAAACAGATACCAATTTTTCTAATGAAATACGTATATAACAAATGTTCACGATTGACTTCCACGGAGAAGGAATAATAACATATTTTAATGAAAATAAAACACGCAAAAATTCTAATTTGAGTAATTGCTGGTGGTAGGACCTCTTGTGAGTCCGGTAGGTACCACCACCCTGTCTATTTCTGGCGTGAAGTGTGCGCTTATGATGATGCCCACGAATAGAGAGAAGGTGTGATGATATTCTAGGATAACACTGCACAACCAAAACTAATATTTCCTGCCACATACTGTAATTAACTCACTTTCTTAGAAATCTACGATCACTAGATCGAACTATAAATTTGACTTAGTACCAGCAATGTAACAAAATACACAGTCTAGTCACAGTAATTTTAATTTTTGCCTCAAGTCATACATACATAAAGGATTGAACGGTGGGACAGAAGCTGTACAATGCAACTGAGACTTCAACTTTAACCACACGACCCTGTTGTTAATGATCTCATGAAAAATGCATTAAACTTATGAACCGTTAAAACTGTTTGGTGATTGAGGTGTGGTCTCACATAATAAAGGCATATTAGAATTTAAAAACGTGTCCTTTAAAGAACAAAATGAATCATCATGACCTGTAAATGCTAATAGTGGAAAGGTTGCGGTGATGAGCTAAAAATTGTATCTTTTTATTGGCATCGTAAGAGGTGTGTGTTTAGGTAATCTGGCTGTTATAACCTACAAGATTGTAATGAGTCTTGACAGATATTTTATGTCACAAAAATAGTGTTATTTCTTTTGTTTTGTCACTTCTAATTTCCTTGTCATACACGCAGGCTATAATAAATTGGCAAAGATGTCTTGTATTATTTTGTATTGAAATTATTAATTGTTTTAAGACGAAATATCTTCGAGTTTTAAGGGATTACCGTATTACGAAGAGTGATAAAATTAATATTGTTAGGTACTGGAAACCTGAGATTTAAGTTTCAAATGCATTGGAATAGAAATTTAAGACAGGAATACATGACATGCAAAATAGTAGTAATTACTAAAACTTATCGATGACATTGTTAGACTATATAGCATTATCATAGTACCATACGCCACTAGATCATTTGTATATATACGTGTCTACTTCGGAAAAAATGTGTCTTCAGCAAAATCAACGGCTCAGTCATAGTCTACAAGTAACTCAGTTCTTGCCTATTAGGCTGTAGAATTTAACAAATCTTATCTCAACGATAAATCCTGAAAGACTAAATGTAAAATTCTCTATATTTCATTCAGCTCTTAACTAAGACTACCATATACTACTTCAAAATTACGCCACGATTTTGAAACCTAAAACCCTGTACAAAACTACGTAATATCATATGTCAAAGATTTCGCGCACCAAACGTTTTGAATGAAATGTCAAAAGATGCAATGTTTACTAGTCCGTGTGTACAGCTATAACATGCTCTCAACCCATAAGAAATAAGATTCAGTTTCGTTTGTAACTAAAATAAGCTTGCTACGGCTAAATCGATAACACGCGTATTTTTCACTGATGAAAAGCGTTGACAAAGCGAACGGTTGGCACATAGCGTATACGCATTCACAGATTATTCGCCGCATTGTTGTGAAAACGACTTACTAGTTCTGAATGAGATTGGTCGTGAATCCGTGATATGCCGGTTTTAGGGGAACAATGGGGATTTGACCTCACGAGTTGCATTTTAGATTGACATGTACCGTTGCGAAGTTCGTAAATAAAGTAAATTTCTAGAAAAAACTGGAACAGGAACTTTTACAGTTACTTGACCTAATATGATAGGTCAAAACGGCATAAAAAGTTTTTTTTAAATTATACTATTGATAAAAAGAGAATCTTCACGGAGCTTGTCATATTGCTCACTAGACCGACGCAGACAGTCCGAATATTATTTGTTCGTTGTTCAGAATAACAATTAACATCACAATTAAAAAAAAAAAATTTGCAATAACATTATATTTTGTTCCTTAATTTTTAATCGTAGTTTTTACTTGTATCTGTACTGCAACAAATTAATAAATCGAGTTAATGTCTTATGAGGGTGACCCTATTCCCGTTAGATACTCCTAAGAGCTCTTATATAACACCGGGTCTACCCATCGAAGTTTAAGAAATAATAATTAAGTTACGTCTATGTAAAGCATATGCGTAAGTACCTTTAATTTTTGAAACTCCAAAATTCAATATTTATGAAGTAGTGGTATTATATAGAGATTTGTATACAAAAGCCACCTCCTGAACTCTGGGAATATTTTTTTTCATTACAAATTGAACTCTAACACAATGAACCGAGCGTTTACATCACAAATAAATAGGTTATTAACGAGAATAGAAATTTTCAACAATGCCGTATTAAAAAGTTAAAAAAAACTAATGCTACTTTACAATATCCGATCAACTCGGTCAAGGACGGTTGAAATTTCACAAACAGCATTAGCTATTCCGAGCCGTCGTCAGAAACCCATATAGGAACAAAAGAAAATCTAGATTTGGACCGAACCTTGTCGAAATGTCAACTATGCATTCTGAATTCTTTAGGAATGTTTGCTCTAACGAATTCTCATTATGCGTTGTCTTTTGTCATTAACTCTGTGAAATTACACAGTAGTATTGTTCTAAAGAACTTTTCTTTTAAAACAGCAGGTAAATTTTCCTGCTTTTTACCGCGTATTTATTTCATTTTTTTACAATGTTTTTACATTGAGGAATGGTATCGACGCAATCCTAAAATATGTAGTTGGGATAGTCGGTATAGTAACGCTAATT